CCCCCTCAAGCTCACATTACACCTGATTGGCTCTAAGGCATTTGTGATCTATACAGATCATGCGCCGTTGCGCACAGCGACATCGTTACCACGTTTCTCACAAAGGATAGAAAGATACCTAACCCTCTTTGCTGAGTTTGCCTTCGAAGTATGGTATAAGCCGTATCGGCTTTGAATGCCGGATGCACTTTCGCGTCGCCCTGACAATTAAGTGTAGAGAGTCACCGCAGTGACGTCGCCAATTGTTAAGGCACTTCGTACGAATCAGACGTAACATGTGTTGCGCCCTTGAGAGATTCGGGAAGCAATGAGTTAAAGCTTTCAGACAATACTTCATTGAGGTGCGCGATAACACGCCTGCACCGCTGTGTCTTATACCAAGGATTGCCGTGTAAAATTAATGAACCAGAGTTTGGTGATGCCTACCTCAATTTACAAAATACTGCACGAGGCACATGATACCCTTTTGGGCGGCCAACTTGACGAAGGAAAAATATAATGCTCGGTGAGCTCTATGTATTGGTTGCTAAACGTGTATATGAGCACATCTACAGACGCGTGTGATGTGATTTAACACTCGCCGTATGCAGTGGTATCTTTAGCCAGCCTGTCGGTTACGGTATAGTGTTGACTGTAATACATGTGTTCTTTGGTATTCCAAAAGATTAGCCGGTTATGTCAAAAGTATGGTCTTTGTGGAATGTCCCACCAGAATGCAATATCGTCATCGGCGAGGAAAAATTTAAGCTTTCTCGGCAAACATATTAACCGAAATGGCTTGACGATAGCAGTTACATAGGATCGGGATCTGCGCTCTAAAGCGAAATTTTAGCAAGTATTATATAAAAGTTTTGGTACTGGGTTTGATATGCCAGTCGCTTACCATTCAAAACACATGGTCGGACTGAATAAGGCGATTCCGTTGTGAAGGATTGCCTCCTAAGAACACCGTGGCGTTGAAGCAAGATACTCCAGCTCATGTAGTTTGCGCTGAAAATTGCATTACATGCTCACAAAAGCTTTTATATCAACAGTCTATTAAACCTCCGAAGAGCGTTTTACCTCACCACGTAGTGGATCAGTATCAGGGATAGGATGTCGATCAAAATCAATTAGCTGAAATCACAAATCACTCATCTTTTTCACGATGAGATTGGGCGTCAAACGCAGGATGCACAATACTGCGGCGGTGAAGCAAGACAATCAAAAGCAATACGCTAATGCCAGAGACAGGCAAAATATGCTATGAGCAAAAATTCTTAATGTTTCAATTTATTTACCAACCCATGCAGTCTCGGCGTTTGGAAGACCAAATTACGACCGTACTACAATGGACTGTTTGCAGTCATAGCAAAAAAGGAATTGATTATACTCTAAACTTCCCAAAGATAATGCGAGCACACCCAGGGCTATATGTGGGCCCACTGAACAATACCACATATCCTGTGAGAAGCAGAAGACCAGCTCGACCGATTCGTCTGTAAAAGCAGCAAACTTTGGTAGTGGCGTGGCGTCTCAATTCACTTTTGCTTTACGGCGATTTGGTAAAGCAATTGCTTTGTGGGTGAGCTGAAAATTGGTTTTGCACGACAAACGTTTTCGTTACATGACCAAGAGTAGGCTTGGAGCTGATAATAAATGGTGTCGTCGAAACCAGCGCGATACTTTTTCGACGATTCAGCTACGAACGGCACATTGATCATTGTCCGAGTATCTAATAGTGCGCATAATGTACAAGCAAGCCTAATGTTAAACAAGAATCACTAGTGTACTACGCTAGAGCATAAGGCTGCATACATTCAAAAACGTTTCGTTTCAAGTTGCAAGCGCTGAAACCAATTACACAAATCTCCGCTTTGGCTACCCAGCAAAGCTTGATGCCCTGCTACCACAAAACGTAAACGATGTTTTTCGTGTATCTGCGAGGTAACATGACACGACATACAATCACAGAAATGGGAAGACATCACATCTTCAGCGCGTAAGCAAAGACACAAAGCCCACACTAGTGCAAAGTGTATCACTTAACAATAAAACGACACTTCAAGCTAATTTGAATTTAGAGCATAAAACAATTTAAGTTTTCCACCAATCATCTCTTTTTGAGCAAACAATCTCGTTTTTTTATGGGACTTTTGTAGTTTCTTAATGTTATATTAGGCTTTTTGCCGCAATTTCAAGATCACAAATGAAAATATCTATATGACATAGATCCTATGCGGCTTTCGTATTCTCGCAAAGCGTTACGTTACGTGCTGTTGTGATGAAAACTAGAAAGTCAGTGTGGGAATCAGTAGCTCGATTTGGTCATTTTTCGCTGACTGCAAATATCTGACTTTATGACAGAATATTGTATATTGTTACAAATTGTAGTAAATGCTCTCTATATTAGTGTCATCATGTGTTGAAGATAATAAAATGATACCTTAGATTCCTGGAATCTATGGACGACCTTAAAGTAACACTCCTCTCATCTCCGGCCCTCGATGCCTCCATCCTCCCCACTGCATCTCCTTCCTCCTCTCCACCTCATCGATCTTGTCAATTTCGCGACTTTAAACAGCATGATCGTCATTCTCTTCCCACCTGGATGTACCCTCCAGTAGGTGAGACTCGTCGTGTCATCGTACCTCCCCATTCAATTCAAGCCACACGTGTTCGTCTTGAAGCTCCAAAAGATCATCTTGGTGAGTGGCCTTCAACTGCCATTTGTGGAAATGATATTCTGGCCAGTGTCCTCTACTCATCGGGTATCGTAGCTGCCAAAGCCGGCAAGTTAACACCCTTAGCGCAAGTTTTTGTAGCCTTTGTGCTCTACCTCTTTCGCTCGATTTACGAAGAAGCAGTGACTGCTATTCCTTTAAATGGAGGTTCATATAATGTTCTACTTAATACAACATCTAAGAGAACAGCAGCAGTCGCTGCAACGCTTGGCATTATCTCGTACTTAGCTACGGGGGTTGTCTCGGGTACTTCTGCATTGCGATATCTCGACACTCAGATTGAAGTGAGTGTTGTGTCCGGTACAGTGATGCTGCTCTTTCTCTTTGCAATTCTTTCAACCATTGGTATTGCTGAAAGTGCTTCCGTGGCATTAATTATCTTCATTGCTCATGTGATGACATTGACATTATTAAGCGGATTCTCTCTCTTCTACGCAATACAACACCCAAGTATCTTTTGGCAAAATATGAACACAGAGTTTCCAGATATCAACGTAGCTGGTGATGTGATTAAAGGGAATGTTTTAACTGGAATTTTCTATGGCTATTCGTCAGCTATGCTTGGTATTACAGGGTTTGAAACCTCTGCACAGTTTGTTGAGGAACAAGCACCTGGAGTTTTTCGAAAAACATTACGGAATATGTGGATGTTTGCCACATTTTATAATCTACTCTTGTCTTTCTTAACTCTAGGAGTTTTGCCATTAGAAGGTCCTGGTGGGATCTATCACAATAAAGATATTGTCTTAGCAACAATGGGTCGTGTGGCAGCTGGCAAGTGGTTAGAAAGTTGGGTATCTATTGATGCTTGCGTAGTGTTAGCCGGAGGTGTCTTAACATCATACGTGGGTATCACGGGTCTTGTACGTCGGTTAGCATTTGATCGCGTCCTTCCAGCATTTCTCACATATACAAATCATTCTCGTGGTACAAATCATTACATCATCCTACTTTTCTTTGCACTACAATCAAGTCTTGTCATATTGCTTCATGCTGATTCCACAGTTCTCGCTGGAGTATTTACATTTGCGTTTTTGGGTGTCATGGCTTTATTTGCCTTTGGATGCATGTTGCTCAAACTTAAACGTGAAGACATTCCACGAGACGTGCATGCTCCGTGGTGGAGTTGTCTTTTTGGCTTTGTAATGGTTCTACTTGGTCTTTTGGGTAATCTTCTCGGAGATCCTGCAATATTTACATACTTTGCACTCTATTTCGTGGTCTTTGCGTCAATAATGTTCGTCATGCTCGAACGTGTCTTTATTCTTCGAATCTTGCTGTATGTTATGCAGCAGTTTTTTCCGTCATATGAAGAAAACGCACATGACGTAACAATAGTGGAGTCACAAGGTAAAGTTAAAGAACGAATTCGAACTGGAGCTAAAGGAGGCCGCACAATTACGGCTGTACTTGAAGAAATTCATCTTCCCCCAATTGTTTTCTTTCTCAAGGCATCCAACTTGCCATTACTTAATAAAGCGATTCTTTATGTGCGTAATAATGAGCAGACACACAACTTGTATGTAGTACACGTGAGTGAGGATCTTAATCTCGATGAAGATGCCAGTGCTGAAGTGACAGAAGCTGATAAACAACGACGACAATTAGAACGAGAAAACGTAGAAGATATGCGAGAAATGACTCGTGTATTTGATCTCACGTATCCAAAACTCAAGATCGACTTTGTGCATGTTTGCGGTTCAACTTTTGATGCAGCTCTTGTCCATTGGTTATCCGAAGAATTAAACATTCCACCAAATATGATGTTCATTCGACAGCCTGGAACGAAGCATATTCATCAGATCGCAGCACTAGGTGTTCGTGTCATTACTGGATAAAGTACAATAACTCGACTGTAGTCCCGAAGAACAAGAACAAGATTTCATGATAAATAAAGATCAGTATAAATCTATTACAAAGAACTTTTTGTCTCATCACTACATGCTACGTAAATATTTGTCTATAATGAATTGTTTTTCATGCTACTTACACAACATGAGCTGCCTGAGTTGATGCAGCTGATAAAGTTGTAGATTGCTGGGCATTTGGGACAATAAGTACATCTGACGGACGTTTTCGATGTCGTAATGCAAGTCCGCTAATCTCAAATTGATCAAGCAATTCAGAGCTATTGAGATACTTATTCCCAACATTAAGCAAATCACACTTGAGCAATCGATGTGAAAATTCTTCATCATCTAAAAGAATTCGAGCCAAGTGATGAGGCTTAAAATGTCTTTCAATATCTGCTTCTCTGCTTTTGCCTCCAAAAAATATTAACAATGCCATCATCATTAACATTGTACATCCAACAAACGTAAGTATAGCTGAGAGTTGAGGAACTGAAAGGATGATATCCATATATTTGACATTGTTATCAAATACAAGTGATAAGTCATTTGTCTTTTGCTTGACTACACCATGTTGAAAGAGCCAAAACAAAGCTGATTGATAAGCTGGTTGCAATGATCGTTCAGAATACAAATGTGATGTCTGTACTCGATCCATAAACATACCACGTTCACGTTCACAATGCGAGCCATCGACTGGAGTCCAACCACTTGAGTCTATAAAATTATACGGAAAGACGAAATCACTTTTAAGAATGTCACTCATATCCACTTCTTGCACATTAGATGTCACTAATGGAGTCCATAGAAGTAGAGATGGCGAGTATGATGACAAGTTGCTCACAGGTACATGGTCACGACTAAGAATTACTTCTCTTGAATCATCGTAAAGAGGAAAAACAAGACCATGACAGGTTTTTGCTTCACACGATGCATGATATTTAGAAGCCAAATCAGTCGTTTCCCACGACAACCGACCAGCTGTAACTTGGTAGATTTGTCGTGCATTCGTTAACATAACAATCGTAGCTTCTGTATTCGAATCATTTACGATCGAAGAGCTGATTGCATCACCAACAATTCGCTTTGCAAAGCTAAGGACTAAGACTGAATCAGTTGAACGAACTGGACATTCATTGCCGTCAATACTCATTGTCGCCTCGATATCTTCGTCACCATTAGCATTCAAACAAATCGGTAAAGCTCGAACTTGGCTCCCTTGATCAACAGGAGCTGTACTCATCGTCGCTCCGACAGGACTCACGACACATCCATTGCGACCACACTCTTCCTTTGCATTAATCTCATATAGACCGTCAAGAGCTTGAGTTCCATAGACTACAGAAGCAGTCGTATCATCTTGCAATCTCACTTCACGACGTAAATACTCTTTTTTCATCGGAATCTCTAAAGTTACACCTTGAAACATCACTTGACCACTGTCAGTTGTCCATGGAAATTGTACAAACTCTATCTTGGTCTCTGCAATACTAAAGTTTCTCAAATGCACACGAGCATTGACAGCACGATTTAAAGTCACATTTGTAGCTTTCAAAAGAGCTTCTACATCACCATTTGACGAAGAATTCAAATCAAGAGACAGCTCCATCAAACTTGCATTCACTTGAACATCTTGTGGACGAAAGAAATCGTCCGTCGCACGCAAAGCAAAAGTCATGAGATTGCGTGCAGCAGTCAATTCCATGGGCATCGTTACTTTTTGAAGCGACGTATTATCGTTTTTCATTGATATTAACAACGTATTAGTGTCTGTTTTTGCTGGTGCAGATGGAAGAAATTCACTTAGCCATTGACGAGAAGGAAAGCCATAATCAACCTGTGCAGGAAGTCTTTGTGGAGATGGTCGAGTGCACTGTCCTCGTGCATTCTCCGCTGTGGCTTCAGCCATTTGCATAGCATTTCGAAGAATCGTATCGAGACTTAATGTCTGATCTCTTGTCTCAATTGAATTTCTTTCATACTGTGCGAGATCACTATCGTTGATCACTGCATCCACTCGTGCTATTTTTTCACTCACATACATTGCCATCATTCCATTCAACAGTAAATAAAGTACCACATTACCAAGCAATGCCAATGCAAATCGAGAAGTCTTTGAACTTGTTTCTTCCATTGATACTTGCGTTAGAAAACATAATAATACTGCCGGTACTACAGCAGTGACCAAACCTATCAAAGGTTTCACTAGAATTGACAGGACTAACCCAAGAATTCCATTATATACGTCAATCTCTGTTCGTGGCTTGATGTCATTAGTAAATACTCGATACGATTTCAATACAATTCCATCTTGTAAGAAATACATTGAAATGATAATGAATGATACACCAATAGTTGCTGTGATGAGAATTCGTAAACGTTGGAGTCGAACAAGTAACGGGACAGCATTCGGTGCAAGTTGTCTCTGGTATAAAAAGTCTTTAGCTGCAGATCTGACTGAAGGGGACTCAACATCAAACATTCGACTGCCATGACTGTGACTTGTTTGACTATAATTTGAACTTCTAGACTGCGATAACGAAATTTGAGAGACTTCTAAAGGTGATTGCATCGTCACTAAGTCTTTCAGTGAAGACTTGACTTACAATGCCAAGTTGGGAGTGACGAGCACAAAATGAAAGATGATAAGACTTTTTAATTGGAATTGAAAGGACAGGCTGGCGTGTGCAATATGGTCCAGAATAGAGTTTGAGCAGATGGACGATAAGAGCACAAGTGGCCAGCTAAGTGAACGCTGGAAAGGGCAGATCTGATTCTTAATAAAGGAGAGACAATTCGACTTTTTTTTTAAAATCTCGAATTTTATTGGTGAGTGTAGAAAAGTTTAGAATTCGGAAAGAACACAACTTCAGCCTTTCTTGACAGCAAGAGCAACGAACATTCATTACGATCTTTTTTATCTTGTAGAGACACATGAATTCTTATGACATTTGAAGTTCAAGAAAATTTACAATTGACATCAATGCTCATCATCAATGGAAACAGAAGGGAGAACGATTTCTTGAATTTCAAGAGGGAATTGACCTTACATGATGAATAATCAACTGTAGTATGAAATTTGGAGGAAAATGTATTTTATTCTTAACTTGAATCAATACCTAGAACATAACATGTACGAAGCAATGTGGCAATCATTCCGACAGATTATATGGCTATACGATCTTCAAGTGAATTTTAATTGCTTAACATAAGTAATGCCAACACTCTTGTGGGTGAAGTTGCATTCTTCTCACCACATGTATATGACCCTTTATGAAACAACCTTATGCTACAATATCGTCTATGTCACGTAGGAACGAAACCGAAGCGGCCACAAGTGCTGTGATCCACTTGTCTTGATGATGCGTGCGTGATGATTTAAGCCACATATCACGTCGGAATACCTAAAACAGAGGTAGTTGTACAGGCCACTACAGGTGTTTCTCTTTAATTTATGGCTCTTCACAGTAGTACACTGAGGGTACTCCAGACCTTATTGAGGGGTAGAAAGAGCGGACGGTTGACATAATCTGTACGCTCTGTTCTCCAGGTGTGGGAATTGCGCAGTCTTCGACGCGAATGTTATGACCCTAGAATTACAAATTTGATAGTTTACATACATGTTGACCTGATCCTTGAATCGCGCCATCAAAATGTCACTAATTTTATTTTCTGTATTTTTATTGTCAAACGTGTCTGCCATTGCTTTTTAAGTCTATTGAGAAACTCAGGCAGTACGACGTCAGCTCTGGGCTTAATATCCAAGATATGTATGTATTCAGTAAGAAACAAAGTGCAAAAAAGGCATCGCTGGACTTCACGATAAGAAAATTATAGCGTAAGAAAGATCGGATACGTGCGTGGTACGCATTGAGATGTAATTATGTACAGAACCTAAAAGTTAAGTTCTAACAAAATTAAAACTGGTGTGTAACCTCAACATCAAAAAGTTAAAACCATCAAAAAGAAATATTTTTCATAAACATGAAAAAGAAAAGACAAAATTCATGCTGGAGAGAAAACCTGCTTGTCATGCGATCGAAACGATTCCTTCTATCAAACAAAAGTCACACAATGTCGTTGAATTAGAAAAAAAATAATTTACTTGCAAGTACTAAAACGTACCTCAACAGGTGGAGGAGATGCAAGTTGATTTTGTTCATTTGGATCACTCATTAGTCCTTGATAATCCGGTTCTAGTGGCTCACGTTCTAACAATGCTGGTTGTAAATAAACATTCTCCAGCACATGTTCCAAATCATTCAATTGACGTGAACGACGTGAGTCAATGATCACAGCTTGATCTAATGGTAAATTAAGTGCAATTCTCGGATATCGTGATGACACAAATAAATGAAATGCCAAAGTTAAAAATGGTAAAATGATGGAAAGAGTAGCAGGTAATGCCACTTGTTTTGTCGCCAAGACAGATGCCATAATAATTTGCGAAAAAATGAGTGCACCCACAATAAAACGATACAACGATGGAAAAAAGGTACCAGACGTTTGAGTCGATGGTTCATAGACACAAATGACAGCCCAGCGATACACAAAATCCGAAAGTATTAGATACACAAGTGCAAAATAATTCAGAATTGGTGCAATTGCACAAAAAACTAATACAAGCATCAAAACCAAAAAATACTCGGAAACTTGATCCGATGCACTAAAATCTCCAGGATTCGAAAGTGATGTAAGTCCAAACCACGGAGATGCACGTTCACGTGGAGTTAATTTCGGTGCAAAGACTTGATAGATAGCAGCTTTTACTATCGGTGTGACACGTAATAATTCAAGCGTTAAATTTAATCCTATCTTGACTAAAAGATAGGTGATAAAAAACGAAGATTGAACTGCAACAGAATCACTAATTAAAGTGAGAATTGCACTTGCATTTAAATCAGTATCACTTGATCCAATAACAGCATCAATAACTGTACCCCCAATAATTGGAAGTAAGAATGTCACGTAAATTTGATAGATCACAAGTTTGTTAAGTAATGAAGCATTTACTTGAGAAGCAAAAGCATGTCCTTCACGTTTTGAAAGAAGACCAAAAATTATTGGAGCCAATGCAGTCATTACAGCAAGCATTAAAGGTGATAATTGTTCCAATAATGATTCCACCCATGGATGATCATTTGTTGTTCGTTCAAGCCATGCCCACTCTTTTTCAAGTGTTGATACTTTGGCTAAGGATACAACTAAACCTGTTGGAATTGTCCACAATAAAATAATTGCAGTACTAATCGCAATCGAGATCATAAACCACGTATCTTTGGTATTTTTCGATAAACCAATATTTTCCCAAACCACATCGTCAACATGAGCTGCAGGTTCCACAATCATTTGCGTTGGATGAGCACTTTGTAAGATTTGAGTACATGATTGCACGGCTTTTAAATGACGAAACGTAACAAATCCTGCAGGTCGCATAATACCAAGATCTTTTTGATCTTGACGTTTTAGACTCTTGATATACTGACTCTCCACTGCATCTTCGTCAACTTCATTGTCTTTAACCATTAGATCAATACTACTACCAGTAATCACATCAGGATTAGCTCGAACATCATCATCATCACCACTTGATTCGACCAATTGACGAGTTACTGCTGCTTGATTACGTAAAATCACACGAACTTCTTTTTCCACAGCTTTGTTTAAATCATTCAATTGATCTTGATATAATTCAACAGCATCCACTTTATCACCTCCAATAAGTGCGTCAGTTGTCATCACACGTTCTCCAGTTTTAGCACATTGTGCTAACGTATGTTCTAATTTATCACGTACTTTGACACGCTCAGCCACAAGTTTTTCTAAATCACGACACTCAAGAGCCACATAAACGTGAAGTACAGACTTTGGATAGAGCAATTCAAAGTAATTTCGCAATGTTTGTTGCGTACAAAGATGCGAAGGTAATCCATTCACAACAACTGTATACTGTTGAGTATGTTTTCTTGACATGTATTCATGACGTCGTTTAATATATTCTTTATATTCTTTCCATAACAAATAACATGTTGTGAATGATACAAGATACATCGTCATTACAGTAAACCAAAAGCGCCACATTTGATCAGTAGTTAAATGAGATAATGTCATACGATATAACGAATCCAAAGAATCGCGTTGAGCATAATAATAAATGGGAAAGTTTGCCGTCGAGCACATTATGCCAACAATTGTTACTTTTTCACATAATCGTAAGAAACGTAAGAAAAATAAAGTATCCATACCACAAGATTCCAAAATTTCATCATCTCGTGTAAGAAAAAGTAATGTCATCCATCGAAAAGCTTTCGTCTCACGACATTTCGTGACAATTCGATTCACAGTCTCCGGTTTTTCTTCACGACAATAATATGCACGTTGTAACTTCATTCGTCCAATCTCAAAAGCTATCCATCCCAAAGCACCAATAACAAAGTACACCCGCATACCATTTAGAATGGTTTTTGACGGTGTTAAATCTTCAGTAGCCGCGGCATCAGTCACATTTGCAGCAGCACCTCGTACGTCTGTCATGGTTTTGGTGGTGTTTGTAGTTTATTTCGACTTGGAACGACTGTAGAGCGTTGAAAAATGGACGTTAGAGGGTGAGTGAGTTACTAGAGATCGGTATAGAAAACCGTTGGCTGGAAAAATATGTACTGGTTACAAAAAACAACCCTATTTTTTAGGGTTAGTAAATACATTTGAATACAGTGTTAAGATAAGTTGTTTGTAACTTTTGGGTTAACAGCTGCATAATAGTGACGAAAAATGGGCTTTCTTAGCCACTATGTGTGATAAAAAAATATAGGGAGATTGCAGGAACGGGACATAAGATATTACAAATCGGATGTGGAAATTTATATCGATTTACTTATGACCTGTACTTTTAGTGTATGCGCTTTAGCAGGATGTCGTTTTGGCAGGAAATCAAAGTCATAATAAGTTAGTTCGACTTTCTCGAATGAAAATTCAAAAGCTACTTGGTCTGACCAGCTACTTGCATAAGTATTGCACGACTTACTTCGATAGAAATGGCCTTAATAAACTCTGCTTAAATGATGTTGGTATGTAATAGAAAATACGGTGTTCTAGACTGTTCTGGATAGCCTCATTCCTATCAACTCAACAACCACATAGATTTCACAAAAGTACAGAAACAATTAATAACATTGTGCGACGATGTACGGACCAAAATTGCACTTATGTTCCTTAGACTTAGATCAAAGCTCTGAAAGCTGTGGAAAGTATCATGATGGGACACCACGAGAAAGCACCACAACTAGTACGAGATGGGAGCGAGGAAGGATAAGCTGGGCGGATAGCCTTTCCAAAGGCGTCATATAGGAAAGCATAATTTTACAGTAAAACTTATATTTTTAGCTCCATTTTTCTAGCCTCAATTCAGTAAAAATTGTTCTAAATTCTAGCAGGTGTGTATTCAAAACTGGAAATTAATGTTAATACACTAAATCATGGGTTCTGACTTGGTTGGGACACGTCTAAGAGTTTGTATCACTAGTTTGATTTCGAAGACGTAGATGTTTGCGCCTCAATCTAAATGCGATTCACGAAATCATTCCTAGTCGATACGGCATTATCCTCCAATCTATAAGTTACGTTAAAAAAATAAATGAGCTATGTGCTACGTAAATTGCGTCTAGCCGAGCTTGTCATGAGTCGAGAGCCCCACTTTGCCGAAAGCAGAAGCGCTTCTGGCACGGGCACGACAGCACGACAGCTTTGTTGTCGGGTACTAGGTAAACTTACAATTTTGGTGACAGAATTGCTAGTCTTGAGGAAAGCTCAGAAGGTAGAATTTTTCATATATCTTGGTGTCCAAATCGTATCTCTGATGGAACAAAGGTTGGCTACTGGATCATCTGTTGAGGCAGATATTCATGGTCATGAGCTAGGATCTCATATACTACTTCTGCTGAGTCGAAGAGGGCAAGTGTGCGTAGCGGCCTCAACTTTTGATCACGGTCTTCCCGACATGCAGGAGTAGAAAGACCGTGCCTTGCCGTTACTAGGGGCGGTTCACCGCTTACAAGGTTATCTAATGTAGTGTCAGACATTGACATCACGGTGTTGGTACTGACATATCGGACACAGAGTTGAACTTATTATTAAGTTCATTTCGAGGAACCCTTGAAAAGTTTTGTGTGCTAGGAAAGGGAGAGTCATTCATATTTATACGGTGCCAATTAACCATTTGCTGAAGAAAACGTCGCAATAGTGTTGCCTTCGGATCAGTGGTCCACAAAAGAATCGACTTGGTCTGGTCAAAAAGGAGTACTACAAAACATCTTGACAGCTTTTCGAAGGAATAGTGTGTCGTCATGAAAGCTTCATTTACTAAATGAGTTTTCGTATTGGTGGTGAATTCATGCGTAGGAAACGGTAGAGGTGGTAAAAGAATTGTTAAATTATTTGAGTGCTTACGGTCGCCATTAATTTGACGATTACGCCAAATTCAAGGCAGAATGTGCTGCAGAACAGCAATAGTAGGCTTCACAAAATCGGTGTCAGCATCTGCGACCGGACTAATCATAGCACTAGAATGTCCTAATAGATGATTGGTTTGTCGTGCGGTCATGTGCGTAGCACTACTTTTTAGACCGGAGGAGTTGCGAATGCCACATAGGGACACTATGTATGTAAGCTTGACGATTTGGGTATGTCAAAGGTTATTTAGGCATTCAGATAATATTGAAGACATTGATAGCTTAGAGCTTGCGTGGGTTTTCCCTTCAATCTAATAGACGATCTCATCGTGTAGTGGCCAGCCACACTGGAGCGCTATCAATCGTGGTCTGACTGTGTGAGGTATCCGAAAAATCTCCAAGTAGAAAATTGTAATCTCAGGAAATCACCATTGCCATCATGCAGAATCGCTTTTGCATGGGCACGAAGCTGGAACAACTTGATTATAACTCAAATTAACAGCAATAGTGTCGCTTAGAGCCTTGAGCAATTTCGAAACGCAAGCGATTGTCTATCGTGGTCTCAAGGGTTTGCCCTGGGTAATCTATGTACAGCTTTTAACCAAGATTTACAGCTATTTTTGGTTGGTCGGCAGCCGCGATTTGGATAATTAGATCCTGTGTTGACCACTAAATACGTCTTAGTGCCACTGTCGTCGTAAAACAAAGTAGGGCTTTATTTGTATGTCAGGGTCGACAATGGTCTTCCAAGCTGGGTGTAGATAGAACCATTTGTTGTTCAACAGGGTCGCGGTATCCGAAGCACAGCAATTACGCGCATAGCACCAATTGCATCGATAGTATCTTTCTTCAATACATAGATGACTCGATGAGTAACCATGAAAGACGCAGCTACATCAAGACCACACGGCAAAGCTGATTTCAACCAACCTGACCAAAATACACATATTCAACTGCAGCTCAAAACCTTTATATTCTTCTGCGCAAGTTTGATTAGATTCCAGTACAATTCGCGCCGTACAGGTGCAAGTGTTTGACCAGGTCAATCTAAAAGTAGCTGTTTCAAATGCATTAAAATCACATGTATAGCCAATATACATATTTTCAATCTTCGCGCGGTCTGCCTAAAATCAGGGTATCCCATGATTTGAATCGAAAATGGGATCTCATCGGCATCGTAGACACATTTGTTTGCATTGGCGATAGCGCATACACTTGGGTACACCAAGAAAGTGGTCAACATTGATTTTGACACGCGTGGATGATGAGTACTGCTACCGCTGATGATAGCCAGTGTTCACTGAGTACTGTAAGTCGGACACTTTGAGAGTGTCTGGTTGTTCCCTCAGGGGTTTTCAAGCACATCAACTGAGATCAACCGCTAACTGATGCAGTTCAAATGCCGCTTTGTGCATATGCACAAATATTTTCGTACAAAGTAAGCCCGCCTATACTGTTGACTTCATAGAATAGATACCTTCCTTCCCGATTAATTTCCACTACTGTCGACCTCCATGAGGTGCAATGGAGTAAAGAAAGTAGAAATTTTACACCTGGATCTAGCATTTTGAATCTGACACTTAACATTTTCGTCTTTATCATAGGGAAGAAGGTAGACAGGAGCTATATGATTGGTACTGTCGGCGTGGCATATTGATAAAAAAGTAACACTCCTTCTTACATTCTAAAGGAGGCCTCTCGCCTTGGATGCGCCGATGGAGCCTGCTACGAGGTTGTGCTTCGCATTGATTAAGACACCCATTGCTTCCACAAATTAAGTATAATGAGCTTGTATACCATATGAAGATCCTCCATGATTTGGTAGTCGTACTCCATAGGCTACATTACTCTGGAAGGTATCAAGTCAGTATCATAACTTTCTGCGCTGAACTCTTGCCTCAATTTTAATATATGTATATTAATTAAATCAATACTGTACACTTGTACGAAATTCATTCCACGTTCGTCCAGTATTAATCATAATTACCGAAGGATTGATCGCTTCGAAGGTTATACGACTCTGTAGAGGAGAGGGCAGTAGTACACGTGGGTTGCTAGCCGCATATCAGAACATGAGGGATGCACTAAAATGAACGATAGTATAACGTTTATCGGTAAAATTAAATCCACCTAAATTCTATCTGCTCTTGCAACGGCAACACAAACGTGACAGCTAGTAACGTTACATCCGCTACCGGTTGAAGCATACAAAACCAATCTATGGGTGGTCATCTAGCGCGTACTCTTTGAGTTGAAGGTGTATGCGAACGGTGATCTGGTGGTGTTTGAAAGCCTCACAGTCCAATTGGAGTTTTGTATTTACCTGAGAATGAAACTGTGACCGAAAACGTCAACATGTGACCAAAAACGTTTGTCAACTTGTTACCAAAAACGAATCGACCGCCATGTTTACCTATGTCTATCGCTGGTTTTGGCGGGACCGGAGAATTGACGGCTGTATTTCTGAATGCAGTCATGCGAGGGGGGGTCAGAGATCTTTACGGTGCTGATTACCTCTGTGGTAGCCATATTTCTTTTATCTGCGGCAGTATTACAATCTGCGTCTTGTATGATCTTCCCCTCTCAGCCAAGAGGTTTAAAGGCTGGGCATTCATATACCATAATAATAGAACAATGATTGGTTCAAGCTGAATCTATATAGACCAATCACCGTACAGAAGCATGTACCAGAACTCATTGACGTTCCTCAATTAATCTCTTATCTAATGTAATTTCCAAGTAATTGAATCACAATCAAAGTACTACAAACCACCAAGGTGCAAAAATTAGTGTTGGATTCGACTGGTAGAGCAATTCATTCACAGCCACATGATCGCAACTATTTGACAGTAGCTCTCAAACTGTGCGTGCAATACTTTGTGTAAATTTTGGCTTGTGTTTCGTGTCGCGCTTGTTCATCGCATCGAACTTTGGACCGGCGCGAAAATAAGTAACCCTCAAATAAGATCACCGCACAGCTCAAAGTTGTTGGCTGTTGATGATATCGCTCCAGATTATTTGAAGCTGTGCAAAGTCCTGATAGATTCAAACATTCGTGCAATTACGTTCGACGCGCGACTATCAAAAGCAGTTGACAGCGAGAATTGATATGAATATACCGATTACGGAATAAATATTGTGTATCTCATAGTATGACGGACGTAAATGCCAAAGATCAAATCAACTTCAAGAGAAGATTGTAATTGATAACATATTGTTTGACCATATTTTATCATCCATACATGACATGAATCAAGTGCTACACACTCCTCTCCCGGCGAGCATTTGGTCTCTTTATGAATCCACATCTACCATAAAGCAAAAGTATTTTCGAGACGATCACGATGGTGAGATACCTTTCGTGAGATAAAATGTCCAATTCCGTAACGGTAATATTGCTCAGTATCTCTAGAGAGCTTAAAAAGCAGAAACGGCAGTGGTCCCTGGGCTTCGACAAGATTTAAAAAAGCTGCAAGTTAGTTGGTGTGATCTGTGCCAGAACCGCTGAGGCGTAGAAGGTGCTATGTGCTGCATCCACCGTGACGGGGGCGACTGTAAGTCGCGAGCTAAAAATTCAGACCCTGGATGATCCATTCCTGTCACGATGTTACGATGCTGCTGAGTCAACGCTACATCTATATGATAGGCCCACCTAGTGGTTCAGTGTAGAAAAACGACTCAGATGCGAAGAAATACTGTTTATTAATGAATGGACAGGTCAGAGTATATCGAGGTGCTGCTAGTCCTTCATCTATACCTTCGACACAAGCTACTCTTGAGTAAGAAGGAATATTCTTCGAGATTCGGGATGAGAAACTATAGATGGTCGTAATTGACTACACTTAACCATTGCATTAAGGTACTCTATGTACCTTTTGTGTGCTTTGTGGGAACGTATAACAAAATGATAGCAGTGTTATTTTCGGTCGCAGGGGTCTGTTCACAATAGCCCCTCAGATACTACTTATACGCTTGTGCAACAGGAAGCGATTCTTGGAGTGGTGAGGGAAAAACAGTATCAATTTAGGGGTAAGAAGAACGACTTAGGGGTTTTAGGTATAAGTTGAGACTAAATAAATGACTTAATGGTCCCATAAGCCACATGAGAAAAAGGTCCTATGAGTCTTGCTAATAACTCGTGGGGCTCTAACTTATTCAATCAAGAGTGTACTGAGGTTGAATCTTAGCCTAAACAAATACAACATCTTCGGTGTTCGAAGCTTGAAGTTCGAAAAGCTAAAAGCTAATTTTATGTGAGATTTATAATAGAAGTGACTGGTTCCGCTACCCACTTCAAAAGACATAGACACGTCGGTCCCGTCACCGTTCCAATTTTTTGCATGTGGGGACACGAGACTGGAATTCCTTTGTGATGCATTCCCACGCTGATGCAAAAAAAAAGGGACATACATGCGTCTTCATGGGATGGCGAAGTGTAGCCTATTCCTCATCTCCTCCCTGAGGTCAGAAGTATTTTACTACCTTTTCGGACCTTCTGGAGCACTTAACTTTCCGACCAACAACGAAGCAATTAGGTGGACAAATCAATCTAAGAAAAGATGTTTGCCATTGCGGCAAATCAAAGATCAAGAGCTCTGTGACGTTACCCCATTCACAACCGAGATGATGACAAGAAGTTATACATGATACATATTGTTGGTGTCTGATCGCCATTCGTAGTTATCCGACCAAGTCCATCACAGCCAAACTGGATTCTTTGCGGAGTTTGTTCGCCGTGATAGCGAGAACAATATGGGGCGTCTACATCGCCGAGTTGGCGCAAGCAGGACCCCAAATCACGACCAAGTAAGATTCAGCTCGAGTCGTCGTTGTGTTTACTTGAACAACACTAAAAACAGTTCTCGTATCTCTGGACCTTGTCAATTACATCCGACGCTTGAGCCTGATGATGTTCCTATGAGTCCGAGTCGGATGGTTAGCCGCACCACCAAATTCTGCAAAAGGTTGAGTGCTCAATTGCTTTTCTACGATGAAGATTCGATCGATCTTTTCTGACCGACGAACGTCTCAGCCCTCAAATGTCGCTTTCCACGAGGGTAATCTAGCATAGATAGAGCTAAACATACAAATGGTTAAGCGATCCTCGAAGTGGAGGAGCTCTCAAGCAGGCAAATCTCGAAATTGCAGCAGTGTTGTACGCCACATAAACACTACTGCAAAAGCTTTTCGAGACTTGTTATAGAGCGGGTCTCCGATAAGACATCTTGACTAATCATTCCGTTTAACGCCTGGCTTTGAAGTCTCCTTTTTTAAGCCTTGTTTCAACAGGTCCATGATGATCTTGATCAACTTCAGAAAAGCGAAAGTTCTTGTGACCTGTCACACAAAGAACCTTCTGCGCTCTGTTGAAAA